ATATATATATATATATATATATATATATATATATATACACACACACATAGTTATTATTTTTTCTCTCTAAAAACAAATACATACATTTTGTTTATTTTTCTAGACAGCAATAAACACATGTATGCATACAAACATACTGTTATTTTTTTTTCTAGAAACAAATAAAAACATTACAGCTGAAGTCCGTGCTTTACTTTTAGCTTTGGAGTATATAGAAAATGTCCAACAAAAGAACAAAAACGTAAAGTTGAGGCGCAGATGAGAGCGATCATGACGTGGTGAATATTGATCCGCCAGCTGAGATCCATCGAGTACGTGCTTTTCAGAGAAAGCGCCCGAATCTCGATGTGTTGCATTCACTGCGTGTTCAGCCCAAATGTCCGCTAAAAGTCAAATCTAATACTGTACATATCATCGCCAAAGAAGCTCGCCTTTACTAAGTTTACACTGAAACTGCGGCTCATAACAAACATCGGTATTGCGCCGGTGGTCATCGCAAGAATCCTGTTCATAAATTGGGTCGGCTGACTCGCCAGCTTTTCCACTAACACAGAAAAATGAAGATCAGCTCAGACTGAACCTTTAAATTGACACAAACTGAAACCAAATCTTTTAAAGAGTGATAGAAGTGAGACTTTACTTACTTTCTTTTGTCTATTCTTTCTTGAGGTGTATATTATAATTTCTTTTTATTTAGTTACTGATGACTGTTTTGCAGCTTTCAGCCTTGAATTTAATGATTTATTATAATCTTTTGTTTGTTTTGTAGCAGAAATATTATTTATGAAACTGACATGCATATATAAACAGCAGTACAAAATCAATATTTCTCACTGCAATGCTTCATTTTTGTTTGATGCAAACTATACAATTATTTGTATAGTTTGCAAAAAAAACTATACATATACATATAACTATACATATGACTTTTTATAGCGGATAACTTGCATTCAAGCACATTCAAGGCAGCATGATAATGAGAAATGTAATTCATTACTATTATTGTCATTTTCATCATTATTAATATTTTATAATTATTAGACATTCATTTTGGAATTATTGCACACAAATATCAATGTCATCACAGCATTAGTTAGATAGTTGTTTCTGGTTTTTGTTAGTCCTAATTGATGTTGTTTTAAAATACAAAAAATCCCTTAAAATACAATTTGCAGCGGTGCTCAATCATTTTTGGTGGGTGCTCCTAAATTTTTTCTGGTGCTCCTAAATTTTTGAAGTTGGGAGCACCGGTGCTACCAAGTAAAAAAGTTCATTTCGAGCCCTGCATGTGCTTTCAGGAAATGAGCCGGCTGCTGAGGACTCTTTGAAACAAGTGGTGAACAAATACCAAATTCCTCCTTCATAAATGAGACCTATTATCATCGTTTACATTTTAAATAAGTAACAGGTGGAGTGGGATGCATTGGACAACAATAAGTTGTATGAAATTCAACCTGAAATCTCAGATTTTGAAGACATTTTAAGACTAGATTTGACCATGAGATTTTTATCAGATGTCGTATTGGACATACAATATTAACCCATGGCTTTTGGCTTAAAGGTGAAGACCCCACTCAATGTTTGTACTGCCCAACTCCCCTTAATGTGTAAAACACATTCTACTGGTCTGTCCTGCTTTTAATGATTCTTGAAGGCTTTTTTATAAAATAAAATCTCTTAAGGACATTAACAAAGTGACTCCAGGACAAATTGTAATTTTTTTAATTACGTATTAACACAAACAATCTTATTTAATTTGTGATCATTTACTTGGTGTTTTTAATTGTATTGTATTATTTATAAATGAAACAATGTATGATACAATATACAATAATATTTATTTTTAGAAACATACTGTACATCAAGTAATTTATTCATTTGTTAGTCGTCTGCCATGTTAATATATTTATTTTTTTAATATATATATATATATATATATATATATATATATATATATATATATATAATTATAAATTGATATACAATAATTTACAAATATTGTGTAATATTAGTGCCATTACAGTATTGCTATTTAATGTTAATATTAATCGTTAATAATACCACGCTGACTGTTACATATCGTAATAACAACAACATTAACTTCCATATTTCTGTCGCTGTCTTTAATCTTGTAAGTATATTAAATAACAGACTGTGCGCTCTTTACCTCTTTTTGCGGCCACGGCGCTTGTTGGGAGGACGGAGGAGACTGAAATCCTCCTGCTGAAAGAAATTAAACCTGATATTCCCGTAATATTGCAGCTTATTTTGTGAAAGGAGGACAGCGCAGGGTGACTGACGGACGCAGCCATGATGGCAAAACCTGCAGCGTGACTACGGAAGCCGGGATGAACGCATACAAAGCGAAGCTATAAATATGACTAGAGCGCAAACGCTTCTGTCAGTGCACCACTTTAAGTGATATTCGGTAAACATCACAACACAAACTAAGCAATGTTTGTGCTTTTGATTTCAAATAGCTTTTTAATGTAGTCTTGAGAGATTAGAAGCAAATTGTGAAGACTAAAAACGATATAATAAAAAAAGTTCTTAAACTTTATATTAAATTAATAGACCAAATGAGCATCACGTTAAATTGAAATTAGCTTTTTAATGATTTTAATGGTTTAAACTAGTTTTTTTTCGCTCATGTGGCAAGAGACAAACAAAAAAATATATATTTGCAAAACAATTTTTATTACGGAGTAAATATTTTAAGCATTACACGTGAAACAGACATTTCAACAAGAAAAATCTAATAAATCTATGATATTCAATTTACTAGAAAAATGTTTTTACACAAAAGTGCAAATTTTTGTCTGTAAAGCCATCAGTTTTTTTTTTTTTTTTTTTTGTAAATATTAGAAATATTAAGCTACTTGGACACAATTTCTACCCCCAGCAATGTTAAAGCTGTAAAATAGACAACTCTATGTGCATCTTTTAGCTAATATATAGTCTATATTCTATAATATACAGCATTTTGAGGTACCTTTAATATTGGCATTTTATTTCTTTTTTTTTTGTTTCTATTTGTTTTTTTCTGCTCTCTAGTTTTCTAATTTTACTAGCGTTTATACCTTTGTTGTATATTTTTGTACCATTCCTGTTGATTATTCTCAAAGAAGAGAGAGATTTCAACAGTGTCGTTCGTGAACGTGCATTGACAGACGCCGATGACGCGCATCAGGTGTGCGCGCGCTCAGCGTCTCCACATGTGTTTCAGTCACTCCGCACCACAGACAGTAAAGCGCAGCTCCTCATGACTGCAATTACAGCAATTACTAAAGATAACAACAATAATGATGATGAAGGAAAACTGACGAGAGACAGAAAGAGTCTCAATGGAGCCCTGCTAGAGAGGTACTGTTGATTTAAGTTAACTTTGTTGATTACAAAGCGAATTACATGACATTTTCTTATCGATATGTACAGTATGTGACTAAAAACTAGACATGTTTTACATTGTACAGTTAGAAATTGCGTGTGTATTGTGTTATGTCGAGGTAAATACAGTATTAAAATGATTATTAATTATTTTAAGAGACAATGCATGTGGATACTGTGAATATTAATGCCGACAGATGAATTATGATTTATTCACCAAACGTTGTGTCCTTCTGTTCGAAACTGAAAACGAGTGAGCGTGTTTATATTCACAAACTATGCATGCGATGTATGGTATTGTTTTTTAATCAGAACGTTTTACAATAAACAACACTTTGACAGCTTACAAACAATATTTTTAAAGTCATTTTTGCATTAGCATTATCAAAGCTAACGTTTCACATTTTATTATATTAGGTATTTATATTTATTAATCAAGATGAATAAATGCTGAGGACTACATATATACATTGTGTTAACTGAGACCATAAAATTGATCACACTTAATAAAAAAATCAATCAAATAGAACGCACACGAAAGTAATATATATTTTTAAAATAATATAACCGTATATAAAATGAAGAAATTCTGATATTATTTAAATGGAAAAAAAACGTTAATGTACTTTATAATTTACAATATTCACCAAAAAGCATGGATATAACACAGACATGCATATATGTAGGCTACAAATACATTCATACACATACAGTATGTACATGCACGCAAACACAATGTGATCTGTAAATAATTATAATAATAATGTTCAGTTTTTTAATGTAAAAGTTCTATTTAACTGATTAATTTAATAGTGATGTGTTTCCTTCATTCGCTGCACTGGTGATGTGTCCAGATGAATGAGCGCGAGTGTGTTTATCTCTACGTCCACTAAATCCTCTCGACATGCTTTGACCGTGAGTGGCTTCAGTCTGTCGGCGTTGTGAAGCGCAGCTTAACTGGTGGTCTGCGAGTGTGTCTACAATGCAAAAAATACCGGGATCCACAAAATGGGCTATATGCACACGGACTTTTAATTTTAAGCCAGGCAGCCCAAGGGCTTCCACTGAACTGTCTTTCTATTACAAAACTGTCACGTTTAATATCTGATTTCTTTAAAAATCAGTGATCTTTACTGCCTGTTTGATATACGATATGGAGTGGGTCACAGTTCGGACAAGAAGCACTGCATTAAGGTCCATTTCCGCCGCCATGTATTTAAAATATGACAGTTTATTTTACCCCAGTAAAATAATTCCCCCAGTAAATTTACCCCAGTAAAAATTCTGAGCTAGCCTGTTGCTACTTATGGCGTTAGTGGTTAACTTACTTTCATCTCGTTTTACGCTTGAACACCTAAAATAATGCTTAAGTCTATTTAACTAAATGTGTTGCAATTACATTAGAACAATGATGCAGTAAAAACAACCTTGTGAAATTGAAAATAGTCATGTTAAGCTTACACCGGAAGTTTATCGTTGGCTTTAAAACTCTAGCTGTACATGGAGCCCCATTTTTTTCATGCTGTCACAATGCAAATCAATAACATTAACCACTTTTACAATCTAACTAGATTGAACATAAAACAATTTAAGTTGTCCCAAAACAACCTTAAATTACAAATGAAATCAATACTAATCATGCTGATTTTGTTTGCTCACATCCCTAGTTTTGTGGTGAACAATTCATCTGTGCATGTCAGAAAAAAAAGTTTGTCGTTGTGATCTAAAATTGAAATTTACAAATGCAATTCCTGTTTGTTTTCAGTTAAACTCTCAGATCAGGTCTGTCTGAGTGTGACTTATAATGGGATGAGAGCAGAGTGAGGATCCACGTGCAGCTTTATTAGGAGATGTCAGACAGGCAATGGTCATTGGGTACAAACAGAAGCATGAGGGCAATCCAGAAACGTAGTCAACACAGTCAAATAGACCATAAAGGCAGCAAACAACAGAAAACAATAAACAAGGCAAGGGTCAAGGAACACGGAAAGACTAGACTAGGAAACTCTTTGTAGTGTAACAATAGTAAGACTCAGCCAAGTGTGTGTGTGTGTGCTGTTTATATAGTCCAACTGATTAGTCTATTAGTCCAACTATTAGTCTATTAATCTACAGTGATTCTCAACCACGTTCTTGGAGGACTACCAGCTCTGCACATTTTCCATGTCTCCTTAACCAAACACACCTGATTCAGATCGTCAGCTCATTAGCAGAGACTGAAAGACCTGGGTGTGACAGACAAAGGAGACATCTAAAACATGCAGTGCTGGTGGTCCTCCAGGAACGTGGTTGAGAAACACTGGTCTATAATGAGTTTCTAGCTGTGTAATCCGTGCAATCAGGGTGAGAACTGGAACTGGTGTGTGTGAGGTGCATGATGGGATTTGTAGTTCTTATCGGTGGCAGATTTGTCTGCAATTGCTAGATTGCTGGTGATCGTGACACTGAGATATTGGGCGGGAATAACATACTTAACCACGCCCCTCCAGCTGTCAGTCTTGATAACAAAAAGAAATTGTGAGCAGGAGGAGGAGTCTGTTAGTTTGTTAAAGCTCTCCTGAAACATTTTCCCCATCTTTCTGAGTGAATTGCCTAATTTATTGCATCCAATCAGCTCGCAGTAGATAACAATAAGCCACACCCACTGCTTTCTCATTTAATATTCAGCTTCTCTAGGAACTGCCTCGCAATATAAACAAAGCGGTCGCAGCTTCCGGTTCATGCAGGCTTTAAGAATCGTCTCTTCTGAAATAAGTAGTTTGAACAAGCAGCAATAGTCATTTATTGAGTGTATCTCTCAGCACCTCCTCTTTTCTGACTGACAGACACGACCGCCGGCTCCTGTTTCCATCCCTTCTCCTTCACAAAGACTTTTTCCAGTGGCTTTGTGTGTCCGTCCGTCCGCTGGTCATCGGCTGATGGAGATGATCATGGTTTCACTGCAGGGGAAAGTCTGAGCTCATTAATGAGCAGTAATGCTCCTCGTCCTCACTGTCTGATGAAGGCTTTGGTAGAATCAGTGATCCAACTCCTTCAGTTTGAGGAAAACAAAATGTGGTTGGTCCATTCCAGAGGCATTTTAGTGCAAAAAGAAGGAAATGGGTATCTAATATGCAAAAGTCTGTGAAAATAAGCAGCTTTTAATGGTAAAAAATATATTGATTGTAATTTTTTATAATCAGACTTGATATAAACAGTCTGCAGAAACACTTTGATTGACATTCTCCCTATGTACAAATCATCAGAGGGAGAAAGCCCCACCCACTAGTAGACCATCTCCCTCATTAGCATAGGATGTTAGTAATGTTTTTGAATCTGCCACTATGCTGACACACAGGCATTTGTAGCTCCGCCCTCTTCTGAAAAAGAGCACAATTTCATTTCAATTTAAAGCGACAGTCACCAAAGCACCACAATTGGGATCAAACCCTACAAGGGTCAGTTTTAGAGAGCTAGAGAGCATCACCTGTGTGCTATTTGGGGCTGAAACTTCACATACACACTCTAAGAACACCAGAGACTTATTTTATATATAAAGGTGCATAATTGGTTTACTTTAAGCTGAAACTGAAGGATATAAGCTTAATGGAAGTAAGGTAAATTTGGAAAGTTTGGACTTGAGATCAGTTTTGGGTAATTATATTTGTTTATTTGCCAACATATTTTTTGCACTTGCTTGAAAATGAGATGTTGTATCTTAAAAGGTTATCTTCTAAATAAATTCTTTATTGTAACTAATTAGAGATGTTACACATATTGTGAACAGCCATTATTATTGTGAATATTATTGTTTTTCCAAAATTAGGTATTTTTCATAAATATAAAAATGGAAGAATTGTAATTACTTTAAGTAAATCGAAATGTATTTATGTATTGGTTTTCACTGGTTCAGTGTGGTTGCTTTTATCATTTATTTTGTTTTATAGCGACAAATAATAGCTTTTTTTTCAATAAAAAAAAGAAATTAATTTTATTTTATTTTATTTTAAAAGTTTAAACTATTTTTAATTTAATTTTAAATGTTTTTTTATTAAATTAAATTAAATTAAATTAAATTAAATTAAATAAATTTTTTTATTTTATTTTATTTTTTCTTAATTTAATTTAATTTAATTTAATTTAATTTAATTTAATTTAATTTAATTTAATTTATTTATTTATTTATTTATTTATTTATTTATTTTTTATTTTATTTTATTTTATAACTTGAATTTATTTTATTTTACTTTGGCTTAGTCCCTTTATTCATCAGGGGTCGCCACAGCAGAATGAACCGGCAACTTATCCAGCATACGTTTTACACAGCGTATGCCCTCCAGTCGCAACCCATCACTGGGAAACATCCATACACACTCATTCACACACATAGAATGCAGCCAATTTAGTTAATCAATTCCCCTATAGCGCATGTGTTTTATTTTAAGTTCAAACACTGGAGGAAACCGGGGCACCCGGAGGAAACCAACATCAACACGGGGAGAACATGCAAACTCCACACAGAGATGCCAACTGCCAAAATATTATTATAACTCCGAAAACACGATGCACAAAGAAATGGTTCTACAAACCACTGAAGAACCTTTATTTACTTCATAAATGAGGTACATTTAAACTCATAGTGACTGTCAGTGAATGATTATGGCTGCGTCTGCTGGTCTTCAGCTCATCCTCATGCAATATTAACCCGTCTGATCTGCTCTTTATTTAAAACCGCAGACTTGGAGCGCATCGCGACTTCCCAGCAACCAGTGATCAATCAAATGCAACCAAATACTCATGATCATGTCTAAAACACAATGTTAAACTCAAAGTGGAGCATTGCTTCAAACAGAAGAAAATTGGCTTGCTTGTGGAATCTTTGCATATATTGCATCTGTTAAACTAGTGTTCATTCAAGTCTGATGTGTAGCTTGCATGGGTTTTCTTGTGCTTGCAATCTGCAAACAACTGTTACAGAGTTTTCAACCATTATCAACTGTTCCCACAAACAAAAAGGACATTCCAAGTTTTGGGTTTTAGACTAAGTTATAGCTAATGTCTTTAAGTTTTGTTTTATATCCATGCTCAAGTTGAAACCAACCATTATATATGCAACAGTAACAATAAAAGCTGTTCAGAATAATTAGCCCTCCACTTAAATCAGAATTATTTTATATTTTCACCCCCAATTTTTGTTTAACAGATTTTTTAAACACATTTCTAATCATAATAGTTTTAATAACTAATTTCCAAGAACTGATTTATTTTATCGTTGCCATGATGACAGCACATAATATTGACTAGTTATTTTTCAAGATAGTATTCAGCTTAAAGTGACATTTAAAGGCTTAACTAGGTTAATTAGGTTAATTAAGCAAGTAGGAGTAATTAGGCAAGTCGCTGTATAACTTGCCCCAAACAAACAACTAAAGGAAATTTGAAACGCACACCAAAAAAAATAAATAAATAAAGAAAACACATCTCGTGTCTTAAGAGGTTAACAATCCCCCCAACCTGTTTTCTCTTCCAGCATTGGTGCATTGGAAGATCTACACCTCAGTGTCTCCCTGTGAAAAATTCATCTCATTTAGACTATTTTTACCCAAGAAACAGAGCTCGGCGTTCCATCATGTACCATCCGACCCCTCTGCTGTCCCGCGGCCGCACGTTCGGCTGGTCGTCCTCCAGCTCCAGCATCAAACTGAAGCAAAATGGTCATGAATTCCCAAACCAGAGCTCATTTCACAGCCTGGAGGAGGCAGCAGTGTCCAGCGCGTCCCGCTCTCCTGTTTCACTGGAACTGGAGCCTGTAGTGAATAATGGATCAAGCGCACCCGTCGCTCCAGGTGGCCACACAAAAGAGCCACCGGCCCACAGCCAGCGCCGCCAGCCCGTCTCCATCCACAGCGGGCCCGGAGAGACGCTAGCCGCCGCTGCACGCTTCACGCACAGCCCTTACCACGCCAAGACTAGCATGCAGGGCGATGTGTACAACTTCCTAGAGAGACCCGCCGGCCTGAGGTGCTTCCTGTATCACTTCCTCGTGTGAGTAGAGCTGCTGGTATTCATCTAGTGTTGGTAAACATTAGCGGTGTAGTTATGGTTTTATTATGCTAAATCTGTACTTTTGGAAAGTTGACAGTCCTGGAGTGTGACCAAAGCTGTTATAAATAGCCTTTTGCTAATTAGCATTTTGTTATTGGTTATTTTATTAAGAATTTTCTAACATTAAATGCACAATAAACTCTATTTAAATATTGGCTAGTCAGCTTTTGAATATTTGAAGCTCATGGTTGGTTAATTGGGTAGTTGAATAGTTATGGTTTTATTATGCTAAATCAGTACTTTTTGACATTTAGTAAGTCAGTAAGGTGACATTAGCTTGAGTTTGACTAAAACTAAATAGCATTTTGCTTCCTGTGTCACTTCCTCGTGTGAGTAGAGCTGCTGGTTTTCATCTAGTGTTAGTAAACATTGCTTTAGTATGGTTATAGTTATGGTTTTATAATACTAAATGGGTACTTTTGGAGAATTGACAGTCCTGAAGTGTGACTAAAGCTGTTATAAATAGCATTTTGCTAATTAGCGTCTTGTTGGTTATTTTATTTACTTTTCTAACATTAAATGCATAACTCTATTTAAATATTTGCTAGTCAGCTTTTGAATATTTGAAGCTCATGGTTGGTTAATTGGGTCGATGAAGAGTTATGGTTTTATTATGCTGAATCAGTACTTTTTGACATTTAGTAAGTCAGTAAGTTGAAATTAGCTTGAGTTTGACTAAAGCTAAATAGTATTTTGCTTCCTGTGTCACTTCCTTGTGTAAGTAAAGCTGCTGGTTTTCATCCAGTGTTGGTAAACATTGCTTTATTAGGGGTATAGTTATGGTTTTATTATGCTAAATTGGTACTTTTAGAGAATTGACAGTCCTGGAGTGTGACCAAAGCTGTTATAAATAGCATTATGCTAATTAACGTCTTTTTGTTGGTTATTTTATTAATACTTTTCTAACATTAAATGCACAATAAACTCTATTTAAATATTGGCTAGTCAGCTTTTGAATATTGGAAGCTCATGGTTGGTTAATTGGGTAGTTGAATAGTTATGGTTTTATTATGCTAAATCAGTACTTTTTGACATTTAGTAAGTCAGTAAGGTGACATTAGGTTGAGTTTGACTAAAACTAAATAGCATTTTGTTTCTTGTATCACTTCCTCGTGTAAGTAAAGCTGCTGGTTTTCAGCTAGTGTTGGTAAACATTAGTTTATTATAGGTATAGTTATAGTTTTATTATGCTAAATTGGTTCTTTTAGAGAGTTGACAGTCCTGGAGTGTGACCAAAGCTGTTATAAATAGCATTTTGCTAATTAGCATCTTGTTATTGGTTATTTTATTAATACTTTTCTAACATTAAATGCATAACTCTATTTAAATATTTGCTTGTCAGCTTTTGAATATTTGAAGCTCATGGTTGGTTAATTGGGTAGTTGAATAGTTATGGTTTTATTATGCTAAATCAGTACTTTTTGACATTTAGTAAGTCAGTAAGGTGACATTAGCTTGAGTTTGACTAAAACTAAATAGCATTTTGCTTCCTGTGTCACTTCCTCGTGTGAGTAGAGCTGCTGGTTTTCATCTAGTGTTAGTAAACATTGCTTTATTAGGGGTATAGTTATAGTTTTATTATGCTAAATTGGTTCTTTTAGAGAATTGACAGTCCTGGAGTGTGACCAAAGCTGTTATAAATAGCATTTCGCTAATTAGCGTCTTTTTGTTGGTTATTTTTAAATACTTTTCTAACATTAAATGCATAATAAACCCTATTTAAATATTTGCTTGTCAGCTTTTGAAAATTTGAAGCTCATGGTTGGTTAATTGGGTAGTTGAATAGTTATGGTTTTATTATGTTAAATCAGTACTTTTTGACATTTAATAAGTCAGTAAGGTAACATTAGCTTGAGTTTGACTAAAACTAAATAGCATTTTGCTTCCTGTGTCACTTCCTCGTGTGAGTAGAGCTGCTGGTTTTCATCTAGTGTTAGTAAACATTGCTTTAGTATGTTATGGTTTTATTATGCTAAATGGGTATTTTTGGAGAGTTGACAGTCCTGAAGTGTGACCAAAGCTGTTATTAATGGCATTTTGCTGATTAGCATCTTATTTGTTAATGAGGTTTTATTTAATTTATGTGAATAGTGAGTAAACCTGTTGCCCTAAGATTATGTAAATTAAGTATGGGCACAATTTAAAAACCAACTGTTACAATGTGTTTGTTTATGTATTTGTTAATGTTAATTATTTATATACTGAAACAATGCATAAACATGTTGCCCTCCCTGCTGAAAAATCCAGCTTAAACCAGCCTAGGCTGGATGGCTGGTTTTAGCTGGTCGGCCAGGCTGGTTTTAGAGGGGTTTTGGCCACTTCCAGGCTGGTTTCCAGCCATTTCCAGCCTGGTCTTAGCTGGTCAGGCTGGAAAACGACCAGCCAAATCCAGCTAAAACCAGCTTGACCAGCCTGGTTTAAGCTGGATATAGCTGGTTTTGGCTGGACTCCCAGCTTGGCTTGGCTGGTCAAGCTGGTTTTAGCAGGTCATCTCCCAGCCTGACCAGCTAAGACCAGGCTGGAAATGGCTGGAAACCAGCCTGGAAGTGGCCAAAACCCCTCTAAAACCAGCCTGGTTGACCAGCTAAAACCAGCCAACCAGCTTAGGCTGGTTTAAGCTGGATTTTTTAGCAGGGCTAAGATTATGCAAATGAAGTATGTGCATAATTTAAAAAATGAAGTCAACCCAACAGTTAAAATGGGTTTACTCTCTTTTCAAGTCAAGTAACTAATCACTTTTTACAGTGTACTTTTATCACAAGTAATACATAGTGTAATCTATTTATATTATTATATTTAATTATAATTATACAAGTTTTATCATCCAGATTTCTTTAATTCAAAGTCTATGGTGGGTAATGGGGTTTTAATTGGCTATAATTGAGGATTAATATTGGTTTATTAGGGGTATAGTTGTGCTTTTTTTATGCTAAATCAGTACTTTTTGATATTTAGTAAGTCAGTAAGTTGACATTAGCTTGAGTTTAACTAAAACTAAATAGCATTTTGCTTCCTGTGTCACTTCCTCTTGAGAGAAGAGCTGCTTGTTTTCATCCAGTGTTGGTAAACATTGCTTTGTTAGGGGTATAGTTATGTTTTTTTAATGCTAAATTGGTACTTTTTGGAAAGTTAACATTTCCTGGAGTGACTAAAACTGTTTTAATGGCATTTTGCTAAATAGCAAAGGTTATGGTTGGTTAACCAGCTATAATTGAGGATAAAGCTTAGTAATTAGAAATGGGTTAATCGGATTTTAAACATGATTTTGCTTCCTGTATGACTTCCTCATGTGAGTAGAGATGCTGGTATTCATCTAGTGTTGATAAACATTGCTTTATTATTGGTTTAGGGGTATAGTTATGACTCTATTATGGTCGCCTGTCGCCTCACAGCAAGAAGGTTGCTGGTTCGAGTCCCAGCTGGGTCAGTTGGCATTTCTGTGTGGAGTTTGCATGTTCTCCCCATGTTGGCGTGGGTTTCCTCTGGATGTACAGTCCAAATACATGCACTATAGGGGAATAAACTAAATTGGCTGTAGTGTATGAATGTGTGTGAATGTGAAAGTGTATGGATGTTTTCCAGTACTGGGTTGCAGCTGGAAGGGCATCCGCTGTGTAAAACAAATGCTGGATAAGTTGACGGTTCATTCTGCTGTGGTGACCCCTGATGAATAAAGGGACTAAGCCAAAGGAAAATGAATGAGTCTTTAAAATCTAGAAATCAGCTACTGAATTTCTGAAGCGCATGGTTGATCAATCACCAAAGCTGTAATTGAGGATAAGTGTTTGTTCATTTTAAACTTGTGTTTACCTTTTAGAAGTGCATGAGGCTGTGTGTTAATTACAGAAACTGAAGCAGCTCCTGAAACGAGTGAATCTGATACTGAATCAGCCTGAATCACAGCCGCAGACGGGCTCATAGAGAAAACATGACATTTTATTGCTCTCTAAATGGTTTAAATACAGGGCGAGCATTGATTTCACTGATAAATCATGCCGTGTGAGCTAGTTTGGCAGCAGTGTTACAAATACTTAATCATTTAATTTATTTTGTGATTTATACAGGAATATTGTGGATCATTTTTAGTGAATAAGGGTCCTTTTCAGATTGTCATGCTCTTCCTCACACAAATCTCTAATGTGTGCAATCTTTCAGTTTTCTTATTAGCCAATATTGGACGAATGATACTTTTATTGTGTTTTTCAGTGTACTTTTTAAAGATTTTTTTTAGTAATCTCAGTGGTTGAGGACAAAGGTGTGGCTGGTTACCATTACCTTAAGTTGAAGTATATAAGTTTTTTTTTTTTAAGTTTTTTTTAGGTTTTGCAGTCTTTATTTTAAATGTTAATAATTGTATGCACATTACTTTTTAATTTATATCTATTTTGTTAAGAATCAAAGTGCTTCACCTTAAATTTCATTTAGTTAAGGCAACATCTAATTTTCAAGATTTGATTTTGATTTTTAATAGTTAATTCAATAATTCAATTGTTTTTCTTTATTTATTAATCTATTTTATTTAATATTTTTGTTAAAACATTTATTTGTAGTTTTTTTATTTGATTATTATTTTTTGTATTATTTTTATTTATTTTATTTTCTATATTTATTAAGTATTTTTATTTTTAGTTATTTTATTTTATTTTTTTTAAATTTATTTATTTAAACAATAATAACTCTGTCTATTTCTGTTTTATTTAGTTAAGGCAACATCTAATTTTTAAGATGTGGGTGTAATTTTTCATAATTAATTAATTTAATTTTATTCTATGTATTACCTATTAGTTACCTATTTATTTTTAATTTTAATTTTGTATTTTTATAATTTTTATTTTGTATTTCTATTTTTATTATTTTGTTTTTATTTTTATATATTTTATTTTGTATTTTTATTATTTTTAATTTTTTTTATTTAATTTTGTATTTTTATTTGTATTATT